AGAGAAGGACAAATTGCCCCAAACAACCCAAAGTTCTGTGACTGGAGTATTCTGCTGAGGACAACAGACCCAGGTTCAAGATCTTGCTTTGCCTCCTGCCCTCCAACATGTTCTTGAGGTAGTATTCTTTATCCCAAAGCAACTACGCAGGTAGCCACTGGTGAACCTCCGCTGAACACCTCCAATAGTAAATGAAAATGACAGTCTGCTGTGGAAGTGACAAGTGAATTTATTCAAATAGTAACTGCATTGGATTTCAGTGATCCCAAAGAGCACCCAAGTCCTAAGTTTAGAAGAACAGCAATGAACCAAAAAATGACATTTGTTTCAGACAGTGACAGGACAGAGAAGAATTTACCCTTTCTAGGTGAATTCTGTTCCAAAAATGTAGAAGAAAAAAATAAGCTGAAAATTACATACTCGGTCATCAGTAATAAAGCCAGGCTAAATATCACTGGTTATGTGTAGTTTAAGGGAGGTTCATTTTCTTTACTTAATATTTATTTTGGAGAAGTAATTTGGGCTATATTAACATGATCATGGCCATTAGATTGAGGGCAAATTATTATCCCCTTTTGCTGAACACTCATTAGGACCTGTCTAGAATATAGCATCTAAGTTTTGGGCCCTTTGGTAGAAGACAGCACAGAAAAACTTAAAGCAGCAGCCACTGGGACCTTGTGAGGTCCCTTCCAACTTGAAGTAACCTGAAATCCTTTTATTAAAATGCACAACTAGGAGTAGAAAGCATATTAGCAGTAGGAAATTATCAACTCGATGTAGAGGGTATAATGTCCAAAATACAGCTTATAGCAGTATCAAAATATGGATCTGTGTGGCCCCACATCAAGGACCTTGGTAGTCACTGGCTTCTCATAGCGGTAGTGTGTTAATTTGGTGAAATGTTGTACTATATTTCCAGTGTTCCTGGTTTTGGAGCCAGCTTGTTCCCAGCTCATGCATCCTCACATGGCAGAAAATGATACTGTGCAGACATGCCTGAAACATGCACTTAAATGTTAATGTTGTGATTGCAAGGCAACTCTGAAAGAATCAAAATGGGCAAAATAGGTCAGGAAAGGGAATATCTTGTAGTGCCAGACACTACTAGGAACAGCATAGCCTAAGAAGCCGTCTCACTGGGAGCATCCTCAGGGCAACGTGAAGAAGAGTTCCTTTGATTTAAGAATGTTTATTTTGGTAACTCTATTCCCCTCTCTACTTTCTTGTCAAAGCAAAAGACTTGAGGACTTGGAAGTGTATCATTGCTTTTACTCAAGAAGGCAATTAAACAGGCACTGAAGGTTATTTTCCACATTCTTGAAATCACACTTATAAATGATGTTTTACAACCCAACAAATTAGAACAGCTCTTGCTCAGTACAGGAGCATGAACCTTGTGTCACTAGGCACTTGTGCTTCAAGCACTGTTAAAGTGCTTGGCAGAAGGGCTCACCAAGCCACTTTCCATCATCTATCGGCAGTCCTGGCTAACTGGGGAGTTCCCAGTGACTGGTGGTTAGCAAATGTGATGCCCATCTACAAGAAGGGCTGGAAGGAGGATCTGGGGAATACTGGCCTTTCAGTCTAACCTCAGTGCTGGGGAAGGTTATGGAGCAGATCATTCTGAGTGTCATCACATGGAATGTACAGGACAACCAGGTGATCAGGCCCAGTCAGCATGGGTTTATGAAAGGCAGGTCCTGCTTGACAAACCTGATCTCCTTCTACGACAAGGCAACCCACTTAGTGGATGAGGGAAAGGCTGTGGATGTTGTCTACCTAGACTTTAGTAAAGCCATGTCCCAGAGAATTCTGAAGAAACTGGCTCCTCATGGCTTGGATGGGGGCACACTTCGCTAGGTAAAAAAAAATGGCTGGATGGCCGGGCCCAAAGAGTTGTGGTGAATGGAGTTAAATCCAGTCGGCAGCCAGTCACAAGTGGTGTTCCCCAGGGCTCAGTGTTAGGGCCAGTTCTCTTTTCAACATTTTTCTTAATGAACAGGACAAGGGGATTGAGTGCACCCTCAGTAAGTTTGCAGAGGACACCAAGTTGGACAGGAGTGTTGATCTGCCTGAGAGTTTGAAGGGTCTACAGAGGGATCTGGACAGGCTGGATTGATGGGGAGAGGCCAACTGTGTGAGGTTCAACAAGGCCAAGTGACAGGTCATGCTCTTCGTTTACAACAACCCCATGCAATCATAGAATCATAGAATCATAGAATGGTTAGGGTTGGAAAGGACCTTAAAGATCATCTAGTTCCAACCCCCCTGCCATGGGCAGGAACATGGGGCCAAGTAGCTAGAAAGCTGCCCGGTGGAAAAGGACCTGAGGGTGTTGGGTGACAGGTGGGCTGAATATGAGCCAGCAGTGTGCCCAGGTGGCCAAGAAGGCCAGTGGCATCCTGGCCTGCATCAGGAACAGAGTGGCCAGCAGGACCAGGGCAGGGATTGTCCTCCTGTACTGGGCACTGGTGAGGCTGCACCTCGAATCCTGTGTTCAGTTTGGGCCCCTCACTGCAAGAAAGACACTGAGGTGCTGGAGCGGGTCCAGAGACGGGCAACGGGGCTGGGGAGGGG